AACAGAAAGCTGCTGGTATCATTCCTGATTAAATGAGAGAACGGCTAAACCCCATGGCAGTCTTCTCCTTCATTTTCTGAGAGTTTGGGTGAAAATTTTCACATTTCTGGTTTTGAGGTAGTTCCATCAAGTCTCAAATCCAGACACTTCCAAGCACAAAGACAGTGACTCTGTTTTGAACAGCAAGATATCATTGCAGGGAATCTGCTGCTATTAATTAAAATCCTTGTTACTGCATGACTGCTTATTTAAAAGGCAGTTTTAATAATGCTGTGAGGTGACAATGTTATAAGTTTTAAATTTTTTTGGAACTAAATTGTTAGAAAGTAAAGGATATTAATCTCAAACGTGTATTAATGACAACACAGATTTCCCTTATTCTGAGTGACAAATTTTCCAAAGCTCTTTTTGTCCTTTTTCTAAACATGGCCAAAGTACTAAAACCTTACGGAATATTAGTGTTTCCCAGCAAAATGGTGTGGTGCAGTGCAGGCAAGTTTCCACATTAACTTTCTGGCACAGATCAATAAGAGAATGCAGAAATTGTGTGATTACAAAGGCTGAAAATCTGGCCAACTGCTTTGAATAATTAATTCTTGCTTGATGCTGGAAATTTTTCTTGTCTCACTTTACAAATAGAGATTTTTGTTGGGTTTTAATTTCTAAGGCTAGGGGATTATATAAATAATTTAATAAATTTTCTCATGTGTGAAACTCTGTTCTACATCCAATTTCTAGAGATGGATGTGCAATGTCACATCAGCCATAACTATGAAAATAATTTAAAAAGCACCTTCTTTATTGATGGTTTATTTTATTTTAGAAGATGGCAGAAAACACAAAGAAGAAATTGGTACTTCCACTTCTACTTTAAAAATGCTTCAAAGAAGCATAAACCAAAGGATTTGGAATACAGTTATCTTTATTTTCTTTGTGAATCATATCCACAGAGTAGTCTTTCCTCTCCCACCGCTTAGTTTCATAATCATGTTGTTTAATATGGCAAATTTTCATATTTTGATTTTCCCTATTTGTGTTTTCTAAGGCAGAAGTAGAAGAATGGTCAGTCAATAAGGAGAAATCATGATATTGGAAAGAACAACATGATTTAATTGTTGTTAATTCATGGGCATTAAAATTCTGATACATTGTGAAATAGAAGATAATGACAGAGAACACAACGCTAACAATATTCTCTCATGAACAGAAAATAGCACAGGCTTTAATCCAGTTATTAAGCTGCTTTTCAAAGTTTTTATTCAAGCACCTAGCTAGCTTAGTTGAAAATAAGAAAACATCCTGACATTCGACATTACAAAAGGAGATGGAGTCATTAGCTGTAAAAATAAATACAATTCGTGTCTTTTTGTCTATTTGCGCCCAGTTCTCAGGTAATCATACACATTTCATATGGTTTTTATACCTCTTTACATTAGAACTAATTATTTTTTTTTACATACTTTTTTTTTTTTTTTTTTGTTCCGTACAAACGCATTTTCACCAGACTATCAGATTAGCTGTTTTAATAGCACGTAACACTGTATATCGATACACGGACCTAAACCTGGCCTGATCCCAAATTAGACTACCGAGCTCCTGGTGGGCAACACGGCGGGTGTGAGGCCACAACACCCTGTGATTCCACACGTGAAATTACGACCCCAAGCAAGCGGCGTCTCCCGCGCGAACTCACAGGCGGCAAAAACCCTGCGGTTTTGGTAAAATTCGGCCATTCGCGCCAGCTCGGCGTCCCTCTGGACAGCCTGACCCCTCCTTGCCCTCCTCGTGCTGCCAAGACAGGGGGAGTCCCCTGGGTGGGTGGTGCAGAGCCTGCTCAGCCACCCTCCTGGGGTTGTGCTGGGATTTTGGGGGATGCTGGAAGCAGGGGAGGGTAAGGGGATGCTACGCCCAGACAGTGGCCAGCCCGGGGAAGATCTGGACACAGAAGGCAAAAATAAGATCAAGCCTGAGATTGCTGTGATTTAGGACCTGACCAGCCATCTCCAGAGCGTTGCAAAGTTGGTGAAAGGCTGAGCTTGGCCTTTCCCGCAGTGCCTTTGGTCTAGCAGTGAGGGCACTTCAGCCAGCCCCACGAGTGGGTTGGATGTGTACATTATTATTTTTTTTTAATGCAGGCAAAATATAATCCCCATTCCTGCAAAAAAAAAAAAAAAAAACAAAAAAAAAAAAAAAAAAACCAAAAAACAAACCAACCTAAAAAAAATAAATGTGTCTGGGTGAAACCCTGGGGGTTTCTTTGGAGAGGTACAAAAAAAAAAAATTTCATGAGGGTCTCTTCACCTCTGTGCAATAAGAAAACCATTCAGCCTCCTCCAGATGTAGCAGATCTTTGGGGAGGGTAGAGCCAGCTACGTAAGGCTCCCCTCTTTACAGCAACTCTGGATCTAGCTGTGGTAATTACTTGGATATTCTCTACAGCTTTTCCCACCCCACAACCTCACTGCCCAAACTTCTGAAGAAAAACTGCAGAACACTTCGCATTTTTTCAATTTTTCTGAAGGTTGGATGGAGGAATGACTTACTCCTCTTGATCATGGTCCACTCTTGCATACCCCACTCCTTTTTCTGGTTGGGTATTTAACATTTCTATTTCTATTTCCATTTCCGTTTCCATTTTTTTTCTCCAAAGGTTTCAGAGAAGGCTCTGAATGGCCTGAGAAAATGTGTGAAATGGGCACCAATTTAAAAAAAATGGCTGTTCAAAAAAGGTTGCATGGTTTCAGGGACTTGACCTGTAGTAAGTCTCCATTTATAGCTAAGGGATACCATTTTGAGAAAATCCAATTCCTGGTGGATTAAAAAAAAGGAGGGAGTTTGGCACTGAGAGTTTGATCCATCTGTAAAGTATGAACAGATATCCACAGAGGATGCAAATATCCCCAGAAGGATGGAAATTTGCCTCTGAGTTCAGTGGGAATGAACTCCAATAAAATACACCTTACTCTACAGCCCCTTTCCATATCTTGTCCCTTGTTTGCTCACAGAGTCTTAAAACAGGACCACAACCACTCTGGGAAAGAGATTTATTTACTCACATCCACGGGAAAATAGCTACACCAAACGATCCATGAAAGCATACAGGTTGTGTCCTAGTTGGATAAATACCACTATACTCGTTTAAATTGTGGAAACAGTGGGCAGCTATAAAACTTTGCGTAAATACAAATGTTGGTCCTCTGAGTTCTTCGTAGTCAGCAAGCGTAGAGTAGGAAAAAGAGTTCTCCATTTTTAAGTGGTAGAACCAATACTAGATAGAGAACATCAAAAAATGCTGAAGAGATTACCCGAGACCAAGATATTTTTAATCAGTGGCCTCTCTACCTTTTTTTTTTTTTTTTTTGGATGTCCAGCTTGAGACATCATGAGTGGAGTAAAGTTTCAGAAAGCCTCGAGCACCTGCTCTCTGAAAAACTGGTTTCATTAAGGTAGCTGAAGATGAGCACCAAGAATTGCTGCATCCAAAGTGAGTTTGCATTAGAAATCCCAGATTCCCTCAAACTGGTACTTAGGGAAGACCCAGTGCTTTAGGCAGCTCTGAAAATCCTAGGCACCATGCACAGTGTGTGTTTTTCTCTGACACTGGCAGATTTAGGTAAACATCTTCCACCTAGACCACTGCAGATTTAGTGAAAAGAAGTATTTCAATAGCTTTATTTTCTCTTAACTCTAAGGAGGACTAACTAAATAATTCAGGGCTAGCAATACTATGTTATTTCACTGATAGTTTAAAAAACAGATGTACTTTTTAGATACAAATAAGATGTAAGGAAATGAATTTTTTTTTTTTTTTGTTTTTCTCCTCTAAAACGTAATGGCTGGTTTCAGATTTTGTCTAATAGTCTTTGTTTAAGACTTCACCATTTTAAATATTTTTTTTTCTAATTTTTTTTCTTGTGATGTGTAAATAGCTAAGAAATATTAAATACTGTAATGTTCTTTAATTAAGACAGTAGCATTTCAAAGGCTAATGTAAAATCAAGCTGCTAAAGTTTACAATTTCTCTGTCCAGCAGTTCATTTATACAACTGCCCTGAGTAGATGCTATTATGCTGCTTAGCAAATGGCCTTTAAGAGTTTAAAAATAGCTCAGTAAAGCTACTCAAAGGTAATACAACACGTCTCAGGCATCTTTAATTGGAGAGAAGAAGAAAAGAAGAGTTTTCTCATTAGTTACTTATTCACTCAATGATTTATACACAACAAAAACACAATTGAAATGTTCAGGAGAACTAATTGTGCTTCTTCCTATGCATGGGACCATGAGCTTATTTTTCAGAAAGGCAAGGTTTGAAACTGTAAAACTAGTCCTATTTTTGTGGACCGTTTTAGCTGCTTTTATTAAACTCTCTGTTGTTCCCATGTGAACCAGTGAAAACAGTTATTTGCTAACATATATTGTTGTGAGATTTCTTTACGAAACCTCACTGATCCCCTTTAACAAAAAGATTGTTTTATTTTAAAATTCCTGTCATAATCAATTTGCAGTGTTTCTCAAACTGGTACAAATATGTAAAATCTGTGCTTTTAAAAGCTTCTGCTTTGAGTAGCCTTACACTCCATAATTGTGCCCTAGCAATTGTCAAGCTCTATTGCATGCCCCATTCACAAAAATTATAATTTTTTTGGGATGACATAGCTTAAAGAATTTGAATCTAAAAGTTCCTTACCTAGAGCTCCCATTAAATTATATTAATTTAAAATATCTATGGAATGATATTTTCACAAAAAAAAAAAAAAAAATCAAAAAGCGAAACACTAAAACAAAACCAAACCAATGGGTCTGGGGGAGGGAGTATCTACGAAAATGACTCTTTACAGTAAGTAAGAGAGGTTTATCACAGTTTTGGTAGCTTTCATGAGTTCATACCAAAAAAAAACCCCAAAAAACCCCAAAAAAAGACATTTGTCACATGTTTAAAAAAAAACCAAAAAAAAAAAAAAAAAACCACTAACAACTTTCACGCTCTAGGTATACCCTCTCAGTTGTAGGCCCTGAAGCAGTAGACACCGTACAGCTTGTGCTTCTTGTCGGGGAAGCCGACGAAGCGCACGGCGGCCTCGCTGGGGCTGCAGCGCTTCCGCGGCCGGGAGATGGGATAGCGCACGCTGCCGTCCGCCAGCCAGCCCGCGTCGCAGCGGTCGTAGCCCAGCAGCTTCCAGGCCGCGAAGATCTGCCCCACCTTGGCGATCTGGGAGCCGTCCTTCAGGCACGCCTGCACGGCCTCGTCGTAGGTCAGCTTGGTGGGGTGGATCAGGTAGTAGAAGCGACCTGGAAAGGGGAGGAGGAAGGCGGAGTTGTTAGCGGTGCGGAGGTTGGGCGCCAGCGGTGCTGGAGGTGTTTTCCAGTCTTAAAATCCTGTGATCACAGAATCACACAGAATCACAAAATTGACAGAATGACCAGGCTGGAAGAGCCCTTCAAGGTCATCGAGTCCAAGCCAGCCACAACACCTCAACGCTGGCACCCGGTGCCACATCCAGGCTTAGTTAAACACACATTCCAGAACTTTCCCTTTCTGTACAGAACTTTATTGTTCCCTTCCTGTAAAAAACTTTTTCCTAATATCCAACCTAAATTTCCATTGGATAAGCTTGAGACTGTGTCCTCTGGTTCTGTCAGTGCTGCCTGGAGAAAGAGCCCAACCCCAGCTGAGCACAGCCACCTTTCAGGTGATTTTTTAACCTCAACGGTGCTGCCTAAAGATTTCTGCTTTTTATGTATTTTTCATACACTTTTCATACATCCACAGCTCTGTACACCAGTTTTATAGCTCCTGGTATTTTTCCTACTCTTTTTATTAGATTTTAGAGTAATAAGCTGACCTTCCAACACATTCCTGAAATACTGTTTGGTCTTATTTTCAAGTAAGGCCCTAAAAGAAAACATAACAGGAATTGGGGCATAGAAGTCCTTACCCTGGGGGCAACTGAATCTCCTATTGGATGTACCTCTTAGATGTCCTAATTAATTAACCTTATAAAAACTGTAGAAACACCATTGTGTTTTCAACACCATTGTGCCTATAGCCCATGACTACAGATACACCTGGAAGCTTCCAATAGGGAACATCTATTTTTTGTTACCATTTTAATACTGTGGCAAGGTTTTTTTTCTGCTTTGATTTCAGGCAACAATACCTTAACACTGACTTTCGAGGAGAAATGGAGATGTTCTGTTAAGGATCATGTGAAACAGTGGTCATTTGGGTCTGTGCCAGTTGGATATTTTGTTATTAAAAATATTGTGACTTTTTTGTGTGATGAATTGATAAGTGTCAGGAGGGAAAAAACCCCAACCTACCTAAAAAACAGCAGAGGTAAGAAAACAGACCATTTGAACAAAAACAAAAAAAACCAAAAAAAAACAAAAAAAAAAACCACAAACAAGCAAAAAACCTAAAAAACCCACCAAACCCCCAAAAAACCCTACCAAAAAAAAAAAAAAAAAAAAAAGTCAATGCTACATGTATTTCTTCTAATATCAAAGAATGGCATCTCCACCTGAAGTCATATTCAGTGATAGCATTTTAGGGGAGGGCAGCTGCAGGTAGCCCATGCTCTTTTGCTCTCTGACAAGGTGGTGACTTTGTTTCTGATTAAATACAAGCACAAAAATAATTTTTTTTTTGTTTGTTGTTTGGGTTGTTTTGTGTTTGGTGTTTGGGTTTTTTTTGTTTGTTTGTTTGGTTTTTTTTTTGTTTTCTTTTTTTTGTTTGTTTTGTTGTTTGGTTTTTTGTTTGTTTGTTTTGTGGGTTTTTTTTGTTTTTTTTTTTGTTTGTTTGTTTGTTTGTTTTGGTTTGGTTTGGTTTTTTTTTTGTTTTTTTTTTTTTTTTTTTTGGGGGAAAGCCAAGGAATCAAACAGCTTCTCAGCAGGAGAGTTTGAGCCCGTGGTGGAGCAAGATTATGTGTGTTGTAAGTCTTCACCAGCAGTTCTGCTGCTCTGTTTCTCTTCAGGCATCAAAGGGCATATCCTCACCACAACACGAGACTGAGCTGATAGTGCTGCTAAGAAAAATGTTCCCTGTCTCAAGGTAATGAAAATAGATGCCAGAAAATAAAGCCCAAAAAGCAAAGTCTCCCCTACTAATCCATACACAGCAATAATATTAATATTGATTCCATTTATCAAGGCAATAAACATTCATTGTTAGCATTTCATTCATTGTACTTGGGGTTATTTATCATCACTGCTTTGACAGCCAAGTGGACTGCAGAAGAATCGTGTTTCTCTGAAGGCATTCAGTAATTTCCAAATAAATTCACAACTTTTCCATCTGCCTCTTCCTGAAGAGGAGAGTTAGCTGAAGAAAAGGGAAGAATTTTAATCTTCTGGGCACCTTCTAATTCCAGAGCACACTCTTTACTGCTTAATTAAGAGTGTACTCCAAGACAATACCCACTTTCTGCCTCACAAAAATCAGGTATTTACACACTGTTTAGAATGAGATTACTTTCTTGGTGAAGAAAAAGTGCTGAGCAAGGTAAGAGTTGTGTCAGCTTCATATTCCTGCAAAAAATAACCAGGATTTTTATTCTAATTGAAGGATAGTCAGGTCAGATCACAATATAAAGGTAATTGAATTAACCCTGACTAAAGGTGGTAAATTGTATATCAAGAACAGTTAAAGACAAAAAAAGGCATATACATTGCAGCTGTGGTGGAAAAGAAACTTTTTAAAAATTTCATTGATGTCAGAGACAGTATCTACAGATTTTCCATGGAAAGCTATTGAGAACAGGTAATCATCCCTTTGTAGAACGCTTTTTTAAACTCTGTTTCTGCAAGCTGAAAGCTTTTACAACATGCTGCTAAAGGGAATGTTTGCTAAATGAAATCCTGTTACTGATACACCCTCAAGAGGTTTCCCCAAAGCAAACAGGATTTCTGATTTAGGGGAACAGGGGTTTGGACTGATGGTGGGTAAACTTCACCTAGTTTATGAGTTCCTCTTCAAACCATATGCCAGTGGAATGTAATTTCCTAGGGATTTGCAGTGAGGTCAGGCTTTTGACACGTGACATCAATAATAAAAACTCCCATACTCTGCTCCTCCCTCAAACAAGAGAAATTTAATAGTAAACCCCACAGGGCTGCAGTGTGCATCCAGAATGTCTGATTACATAACATTCCATTAACAAACTCTGTACAGATTTGCAGTTTTTCTCCCTGATAACAGTTGGGAAGGGTTCCTGACTGTTCAATCTCAGAGTTTATTAATTGATGTGGAAAGAGAGGGAGGAATTTACTGTCTCTCTCATTAATGTCTGGTGGTTGGGTCACTTCTACAGAGGATCCTGCCTGATTTGACTCCATAGGGCAGATCTATAACAGATCTATAACAGTTATTTTAAGATTTTATGTGAAAAGGTGAAAGAGGAAAACTCCAGCCACTGACCTACACACCCCACGCCCTTGTGACTGTGGAAGTTTGAGGGATGAGTCACACTTGGAGATTTCTTCAAGGTTAGTGCTCAGTTGAGAGGTTTATTAGTGAGTTTCTCTTATTTAAAAATTTAAAAAAAAAAAAAAAAAAAAAAAAAGAGAGAGAGAGAGAGATTTAAGACCTGGTAAATATTTTGACATCCAGTGATCCTCTCAAATAACTAATTTTTAATTAAATTTATGAGAAAAAAAAAATGTAACACACCAATACCAGTAATGACTCCGGTGAGTCAGAAGTGCCCACTGCTAATAAAGGGTGTGTGATTTTATTTTGGGTTCAGTTTCTCTTTTTGGAGCAGTTGCTGCATGTTCCCAGTGATAAAATACTCTGAAATAGTCAAATGAACAGTCAGCATTATGCAGACAGGAATTTCCACAGCTTTCTCCCACTTAAATGGCAGAGGTGGTTTGCTTGTTCTCAGGCACTGCTGCAACAAACAGGTGGCTCACAGCTGTGCTTTTAATATGCTCTCAAAAATTTATTCTTCGTGTTCTTAACTTTGTTAAAACAAGATTTTTTCTTGATTCTCCTAGAGCTGATGAAAGATCAATTATGCACTATGGTTCTGTGGACAAAGTATATAACAAAATGCGTGTTAACGAGGGGAAAGTTTGATGCAAGCTGTACTTGGATATGTTTTATTTTCTTCAAAAAGTTTTAATTATAGAGGGCCTGATAAATACATTTACATTTAGTTCTTTTAGCACTTTTCAGTGTGAAAGATTGTCAGGGATTTTCCTTAAAAAAAAAAAAAAAAGAAGACCTTCAGAAGACCTTTGAAAATAAATAAAGAATAACCACTGAGCTCTTCCATTTCTTGGTTTATGCCTATTAGGCTCAGTGGGGAAGATTGCAACAAAAGGATTTCTTTCCCCAAATTGATTTTGTGGAGAGATGGCATGGGGGAGGAGCATCCCTATTCCTTGGGACAAGGAAAGGAGAGAAATTGGGGTGATCTGCAGTCCTGGAAAACCTTTGGATGGTGTCAGGTTGTGCCACCACACAGGGCAGGAACCCTCAGCTTTTCTAAAGATGACATGGACTAAAGTGGTTTCCTCTGGGCAGGACAAGTGAAGGAGAAATTGGCTGTGAGAGAGCAAAGCTGAGCCCTCAGACACCAGGAAATTCCAATGTGGAAATTTCAGGTTTAAGTTAGACCCTCCCCACTTGTGTACATTGATTTTCAATAGCCTCTCTCAGCACAAGGAATGTAAAAACAGATTGGGAAACACATTGCCATCCACTGCAGGCAGAAAATGTTTTGTTATTTCAAAATATTTTGATGGATTTCACAGACAGCATCAGGCTGGTGTTACTCATTGCTTTGTTTTATGAAACACATCACTATATACATATCTTTATAAACTGGTGCAAGTAGATATAAAGGGTATGAAATTATTTCATGTTCTTGGATGGCAAAACATGAACAAATCTTGTATGAACCAACAGAAGATTTGAGTATAAATCAGCTACACAGGCAGAACAAAATGTGTGTTGTATTTGCCTCAGTCTATGAAAAGGCACCATGGAGGGTAATTTCATTAAAAAACAAGATTATTTAATATTGCAGCTTTACTCAAACTATTTCCTTGTGCAGATAACAGAAAAGCATGTATTTTTTTTTTACTAATGGTATAATCCCTTCATTTTTAACCATTATTTTTTGTGTGTCCAGGTCATCACATTTGGGATCCAATAATTCCACAGGGAAAATGCTAAACCTGGATTTGAATTCACTGCATTGCTGGTTACAGTTTCATTTTTTTTTACCCAAATGGCTAAATACTGTGGCTTTTACCTTTCTTCTTCAGGTAAGCAACAAGCCTTGCATGTACTTGAGACCAAGATTTTTTTGCTTTTACAGCTGAATTATTTGAAATGGAACTTTTTTTTTTTTAATAATCTCTGAGATCATATGTATTTGGGGATTTTTTTTTTCCTACAGAGAAACCATTTAGAAATTATCTAGACCTCACTCTTTTTCTATAGAAGCTCCCACAACTTTTTTTTTTTTTTTTAATTTTCCTTACCCTTGCCTGCTCCTGTGACCCTTGGAATTTTCCCATCTCCATTACATAAAGTTGAAGGCTCCTCTGTTTCCTACTATCAGGAGACTCCAGCAGCCACTGGGAATGCATGGTGTCCTAACAACCTCTCATTTTCCTTGGCTCTTCCTGAGCTGAGAGAATCAATATTGGGTTTTGCAGTAATAGATTTTGGTGTTTTTTTATTTGTGATGGGGATTTTTTTGATTTTTTTTTTTTTTTTTTTTTTTTTTTTTTTTTTTTTTTTTTTTTTTTTTTTTGTGTTTGTTGTTGTTGTTTTGTTGTTGTTGTTATTCTTGATTTGTTTTTTGGATGTTTTGGGATTTTTTACCTGCAGCCACTATCTTTGGCAACTGCCAGTCCCAGCCTGGTGGCAAAATGGGTCACTACAACCTTTTCCCTCTGCAGTGAGAGAGCTAACATATGCCATTAAACGTCCTTATCCAAAATGCTGTGCTGAAAACAGGGAAAACTGGCAGAGTGGCTGGGTTAACTGCGGTTATGGAGGTGAGCTTGGGACAAGGAGTAGTGGAGAACACAGCAGGGACATGTGAGGAAAATGCAATCTGGTGAATTAAGGGAGTGGAAGCTGAGAAAAGCAGAAATCTGGATTTTCAGCTGATGTCGTGAGAGACATTTGACACTGAATTGTGGGGAATATTTATCTATATCTACATCTATCCATATCATATATATCTAATCTATATCTATATCTATATAATCTATTTCTACATCTATATCTATATCTATATATCTACCTATATCTATATCTAATCTATATCTATATCTATATCTGTATCTATATATATCTATATAATATATACATATCTATATATCTATCTAGTCTATGTCTATATCTATATACCATCTACATATTTATATATCTAATATCATCTATATCTATCTATCTGTCTATCTATCTGTCTGTCTGTCTGTCTGTCTGTCTACACTTTCTCTCTCTCTCTTTTTCTAATATTTATCTTAGTCAGTACTTATTATTCCTTCTTTTCCCCAGAAATTATGCTTTTTGTTCCTTAAAAGATGCCTCTCAGCTCCTGGTGTGTAAAAGGGTGGTGATCACTGAGCAGTAGTCACAAGGTTTCACTCTGCAAGCATTAGAAAAAAGTGCAGCTATCACATTTTAATTATTTTTGTTTGATTATTTAATACCTTGGTGATATTTCTATAGCACAGGGTTAAATCTGTATAGAGATGAGTTCATACAGGATTCCATCTTGGATAAATGAAGCAAGAAGAACTGAGCCAGCATTTAATGGGATGAAACAGTATGATAAAAAATCAGCCAAACTTTTGTTTCAGATTACTTTGAACATAATGTAATACTGTTGGCTTGAGGAGTTGTTTGGGTTTTCCTGTTGTATTTTTTTTTTTTTTGTGGGGGCTTTATGCTTGTGTGTATTTTTTTGTTTTGTGGTGGTTTTTTTGGGGTTTTTTTTTTTTTTGCTTTTTTTTTGTTTTGGGAGGGGAGTTTTTTGTCTGTTTTTTTTTTTTTTTTTGGGTTTTTTTTTGGTTTTTTTGTGTTGTTTTTTTTTTGAATTTTTTTTGGTTTTTTTTATTTTTTTTTTTTTTTTTTTTTTTATTTTTTTTTTTTTTTTTTTTTTTGGGTTTTTTTTTGGTTTTTTTGTGTTGTTTTTTTTTTTGAATTTTTTTTGGTTTTTTTTATTCTTTTTTTTTATGGGTCTTTTTCTGTGGAGGGTGGTGCAGACTTAGCACTGGAGCACATCTTCTGAAACCAAGGCTTATGTTCATTTTTTGGTGTGCTGTAGGACAAAACTGCTTCACTGTGGCTAAGCAATCTGTGCATAAATATAAAAAGGCCATGCTCCATGGTCTGAGTGGGTTGCAAGCCAGACTTTTGCAGAGTTGTGTAGGAATTATCCACAACTAGGATGCTGTAGAGGATTGGACATTTCCAGCAATGCTTTCTAAATATTTTCCTGACACTAGGTAAACCATGAAATGATAGCAAGCTGAGATTGGGTCATTTAATTTCATTTCATACCTAAAAATTATCAACTAATAGCAAAAAAAAGCTTGCAGTTGCTACAGTAAGGTTTACAGAAGTCCAGCCTCAGAGCAAAAGTGATCGGTGGCTTGGCAGCATGCTAAGATTAAAAATCTAAATTATTAATAAATCTAGAAATAGGTCTGCTGATAAAGAACTATTAGTCATATTAGACCTGGTACATGAGCAGGAACTTCTTGACACTGCATAATAGGTGCAGCGATGATCAAAATTTTGTTTTGGTGACACATTTAACCAATAGGAGCAGAATTATTGGCTTCAACAGGAAACCTTAATTAATGAACTGCAGGTTACTTCGTCACTTTAACCGAATTAAACTGGTTACATGCCAGCCTTAAAAGGGTGTGTATAAATTTTAATGGGGTATGTATAAACTTTAATCTCCTCTTTTAATAAAGGGGAGATATTAGAAAATCCAGAACAAGTCCTGAGTTGTAAAAACTACCTACATGACCATGTGGCAAACACGACTTTACTCTGCGTGCGCACCCTTGAAAATTCCACAACGATTTTATTACCTTGATTATTTCGTTCCTACCATCTTCCAGGGCTAACACGAGCTTTGACAAACCCAACACCCCTTCCTGCCCCTGGAGCACCTTGCCTAAGCACAGCCATTTATGAGGGAAAGGCGAAGGAAACGCTCTCACCGTTGAAGTTGGACGTGAAGCAGAAGACGTCGTAGCGGCTCTTGTCCTTGTCCCAGAAACCGTAATTCCTGACTCCGGGCACGGTGTTCCTGCCCCCACAGGGCTCCCTGGGCTTGGTGATGGGGTACTGCACGGAGCCATCGCTGAGCCAGCCGGCGTTGCACCAGTCCAGCCCCGACCTCCAGGCGTTGTAGAGCTGGTCGAAGGAGGCCATCACCGCGTCCTGCTCCGCGCACGCCCGCTGCGCCTCGTGGAAGTTCAGGTTGTACCGCCCCAGCCGCGGGGAGTAGGGGAACACCACACCTGCAGCGGGGAGAGAGGAGGGTTACCAGGCACTGAGACAGCAGGGAGAAGGGGAGGAGGTTTGGCAGCCAGCAGGAGAAGGAATAAAGGGGAGGTAAAGGTTGGAGCTGTGACGCGTGGCGGCGCTGGTTTATTTTTGGGGAAAAATGCCCCATCGGTGCAGCAGCACTGGTTTTGGGAAGAGGTTAGGGCTGCTGCCTTACCTCTTCAGCTGTGCCAAGGAAAGTTTGCGTTAGTTGTTTGAAAGAAATTCTTCACTGAAAGAGGATTGGGCACGGGAATGGGCTGCCCAGGGAGGTGGTGGAGTCACCATCCCTGAATTGGTTTAAAAAAAGAGTGAATGTGGCACTGGGTGCCATGGTTTAGTTGATGGGGAGGTGTTAGGTCATGGGTTGGACTAGATGGTCTTAAAGGTCTTTTCCAACCTAATTCATTGTGTAATTCTGTGATTCTGTGCTGCCTTACCTAGCAGGATCATCTCCCCGTGGCCTCATCCCCTTCCAAAAGGGAATTCTGCCAGGTCTGCATGCTGCTCCCACCTGCACCTTGCTGTCACCAAGGTGGTCTCACTGCCCTGCTCTCACAGTGCTTAAGGAGGAGCAGGACTAGCTGGAATTATGCAACTACACGTTTTTAATGGAAAATTTCCATTTATCCATTGTAAGGTCAATTTCTAGTTTTAAAAAGAGTCAAACCGTAGCATAGCTTTAATTTTTGAATTTGTTTGTTTGTTTGGGGATATGTTTCTTTACTATTTTAATTTTGTTTGTTTGTGTGATTGTTTCTTTGTTTTGCTTTGTTTTGGAGTATTTTTTTATGTTTTGGTTGGTGTTTTTTTTTTTTTTTTTTGGTGTGTATTTTTGTTTGTTGCTTGGTTGGCTTGATGGAGGTTTTTTTGTGTGGAATGGGAGTAGGGGAGTTGCTGACAGCTATTTAGAAAGAGGAAATTGTTGAATGAATCATTGAATTTCTATGAATTATGTCTTTGGAATGATAGACATTAAGATGAAATAGTTTGATCGACATAAAAGAGCATTGTGTTCTTTGCATGAGCCCTTGCCAAGAATTCTTGAGAGGTTCAAGACAGTTGCTTTTTGTTTGCTTTTTGGTGTTTTTTGTTGTTGTTTTTTTTTTGTTTTTATTTATTTTTAAATTTCACATTATTCCAGGAATGGGAATGTCTGCCTTTATAGCGTTTCAAGGTTAATCTGGTAGGAGGCTCAATTTTAGCACCCTGAGGTTTTAAAGCAGGAACAGCTATGGGGAAATGAAATCAGTGAAGTTGTGTGGTAGACTTTTCTGCTGGTTTTGGGCCGTTTGCCACCACCCAGGGAGGGAGAGCTCCTCACAGAGGACAGGTTTCCCCTGGCACAGATGGTGGCACAGCCCTGGTGGGAAACCATGTGTGACCACCCTCCCTCTCTGCCCCTACAGCACTGATGGCTCACCCTGAGACAGGGTCACTGTGCAAGGAGCATGGCCCTGCCACATGCTCTGTCCCCTCCAGGGGACAAGGACACAGCCTTGTCCCCAAGCCCTGTGTGGTGCTCATCCCTGCCCAGACAAGTACAGCAGAGAGCCCTGACAACAGAGGACATCCAAGAGGGGCTGGGAAATGTGGGGACACCTCTGGGATGGTTTCAAAAGTGACATGTAATCACAGTCCCTGCCCTTACCTGATACTTTGGGTTTTTTTTTTTAAATTTTTCTGCTGCTTGTTTTATGGAAAAATATCAGAAATTAAGCATTGTTCCTGGGACCGTGAAAGACGTTTCAGAAAGCACTGAAGAACCACCTCCCCATGTGGGTTTGATAAAACAGAAAAGAGAGACTTGAAACAAAAGTTTGGATCAGACCATCCTAGTCTTTGGCAGGGCTTAGAAACTTAACCCAGACCTAAATTTTACAGTTGGCTTTAGCCCAGTCTCATAATAAGCTGAAAGAAAATGGTATTAGAGAATATCCAGCTCAGAATGTTTATCCTCAGACATCTCTGTGGAACCAAGTGCTGTAGGACTCAGGGGGACTGAAGACAAGATAGCACACGAGCCAAAAACTTTGCACTGGTATAAATATCCACCTTCCTTTTTACTTTTTTCCTGCTGTTGGATCCTCTTGCCTATAACAATTCCTTTGTCCTCAGGGCAGTGCAGAATAGGATAGAGAAATTGCCCAGTGGTCAGGCAAGGCAGTCACCAAGTGATGAAGCCACTTTTCTTTCAGAATATTCTAACCCATTTCTGTATCTATTCCACCAATTTCCTAAGGTTCCCTTACTTCCTCTTCTCTCCCTCACCCTTCTGTTGTCCAAGTGTTATTTTTGTTTAACAAAACCTTTGCTATTACTAAACCTCAGTGACTTGGTCCAAGAAAATAAAGCATGCAAATGTAAACTTGGCAGGGTAATAATAAACAATATTTTGCTCTCCTTCATCAATTAGCTAGAGAGTCTGCTTCAGTTCTTTCCTTTTGAAAATCCTTTGTTAAAGGGCTTTTCTGTTATGTGATGTTCTGAACTGCAGTGCGTGAATGTAATGTAACACAATGTGTGTTATATTCAACTTTATAAACAAGACACTGAAATGTTTCCTATTTCTCTGGATCTCTGTTTTTCCTTCATCATATCTTTGTTAAAAAAATACCCATTCCTCATCAATGCTAATGGATAGAAATATCACTAGGTGTAATAAAAATTTAGCAAATGCTAAAGGAATCCAAGCCTTTTTACTTTATTAGAAATCTAATCCTTTTTTTTTTTTTCAGAACTATATTTCCCCAGACAACAGACTCCTTTTCCAGTACATGTGTTTGATTTGCATATACATTAAAAAAACACCCTGCAAGTAGGAAAGATCAAGGTATAAACTTACATACTTTTAAAAACTGAGCAACAGCTAGTTGATAACTATTTAAACAGATTTGATTCCACAAAGTTTCCAAAATCACTTTTCAAAAGGGGCTAAACTGTGTATGTAAATGTGTTACAAATCTGAGTTTGACAGTTTGGGACATAGTGTTTTTATAACATAAATATGCACTAAACTGTAATATTAGCTTTGGGCTATATTTGAGCAGACTGCATAGAAGCTGGTTTTTTGTGGGAGTTCATCTGCAGTACAAGCCTGCAACTGATTAGCATTAATTCCACCCTGCAGCTGGGGGTGGCCAGGGGTGATTTTGCTGAGGAAAATGGACTGGGTATGTGCTTTGTGCAGCTTTGAATTACCTTGCAATTTTGTTGATTTTTTTTTTTCCCCTTCATTTTCCTATCAGACCTCGCTGAAATTCATAGTGAGAGCTCAATATTCATCTCCCCTTTCTTTTACACTTTAGCAGTGCTGAGCTTTAGTTAATGGCAGGGCGTCTTCCTCAGTCCTGGACCTTACAAACCTGTCAAAGTATAATCCATCCCATCTGTTCCTGGATGGACAAAAGCTGTCCTGAGGCTCCTTGCTGTTCTCAAAGCACAGGCTGAGCCTCAATTTCTGACTCCAGCCCCGTCCTCTGCCACTAGACAAAACACCAGCTCCCAACCCTCAACAAATTCCGCTTAAAAAAAGGAGGGAGGCAAAAACTTCCAGCCTCAGGAGGTTAAAATCTGGTTACTTTGTGGGAAGCCAGAGCTGAGGAGCCTTAGCTTGACCTTGGTGATTCCAATCCCTGCTCGTGTGGAGGCTGAGTGGGGATATTAATTTCCATTATAAGGAATCATGGTGTGGCTGCTCTCCCAAAGCCACGGTACTGTGGAAAAGGTTCTGCACCCAGGGAAGGACCTCCCTGCTCCCAAAAGAGACAGGAAGAACCTGAGACACATCAGCTCAGCAGAGAATGAATCTGTCAGTGAGAAACGAGGGGATGTATGCGCCTGTGACCAAGCAATTGCTGTTTAGAAAATGAATCCTGTAATGGAAATTGGGATGTCTACCAAAAATGGATGTATTATATTCCTATCCTCCCCACAGGAACACTGGGATTTCTATGGATTTCTCATTCAAGTGAGCATATGTACAACTTTCCCCACTTGCTGTGGTTTTTTTGGAGTGTATTTGTCTTATTTGTATTTCAGAGTCTTATATGTATGTAACCCCTAAAATTCAGCGCAAGAAGTCACTTGACACACACTGTCAGTACAAGCAGCTGTAGCACTTACCCAGGACAACAAGGTGAGGAAGTAACCTCAGAAAGTTCAACTGCTGTAACGATTTTTGGGTGTTAATTAAGCCAGCACCAACCACAATTAGCAGTTTCAGGGGTATTGACACGTGGAAACAGAATAACACGAATTTCTGTTGATCCATACGGGGGTGGGGGAAAAAAAAAATAAAAAGGTCTTTTCACAGCTAGAGTAAAGAAATAGTTTTTTAAAGTTTTAGGCAGAACTGAAAAGGAAATTTTCTTGCAGCCAGTGCAAACATGGGGCAACAGTAGGGTTTGCCATTTACAGTACTGTAGGGTACAGTTTTATCCTGGCAGGTTCATACACTCAAGGGTAAAATTTTCCTTGCTGGATTCCTAAAATTCCATAAAAACTGGTGACCCCCTCATTTTCACAGAGTCTCCATTTTCTTTCCTTTCAGAACTTTCAGATATCTGACCATCCAGCCGCTGGCTGCCAATCTCAGGTATCAATCTCCCTAAAAATGAAACTGAACCTTGAAATATTTTCTCTCCAGCATCCCATAACTGTCAGTGGGGCTGCTTACTTCTAATCAATAAAAACACACTGATCTGGCCCAGGGCAGATTATTCCCTTGTATTCCTACTTTCTAGCTTTCATCAAAAGTTTGGGGACGGTTGCCTTTCTCTGCTCTTCTTAGCCTAATTACTCCTAAAATTTTCTGACACTTTTCTTCCATGTTGTCAATTTCAGACAACTTCTTAAACTTTTTGTTTCACCTGCATCATTCAAGGACCATTTCTTGGAGCCTGTGCAACCACAGCTCTGTCTGCAAAGCCCTGCCACAGAAGGAATTACATTGGTCTGCCATGACTTACTCTTGACAACCCCTCTTAGGTTTTTGTTCCAGGCACCCACAAAAACTGTGTCCTATGAAATCAGCTTTTCAGAGAGTAGAACAGATTAGCACACAGAGGATATTAGAAATATGTGGTTTTTTGGTGTCTGTATGGATGGAACAGCAACACACAGAGGAAACAAATATGACATTATTAGGCTGAATCTGATTTCTCCTGCTCTTGAGAGCATGGAGTTGATTTCCTGTTGGTTTCAACTCTGAACTCCCCATTGCTTACATCCAGCTGAACACCAAATGAACAGATTAAAAAATGATTGTTTTGACAGTTTGAAAAAATTTGTTTATGTGAAGCTTATGGATCTGCTTGAGCTATTTTGAACTAAAGAGTCTGGTTTTGAAAGGGATGCCTGTTTTTTGTTTTTTGGGTTTTTTTTCTCCTTTCTTGGACCTAAAGGCCAACATACCTCAAAGCAAGAACATGAATGCTGATGGTTTTTTGTTCTTGGGGAGCCACACGAAGAGTTAGGTTCTATCTAGAAGCTGCTTTCTACAGTGGCTTTTAATGATTTTATCTAGATCTTCAAATTCCCAGTAGCATTGGATGTAAAAGGTAATTATTTTGTAGCCTGTATTGCAAACTTATTGTCCTCAATTCTCACCTCCCTTTGAAGAGAGAAACTATTAAAAATAATTTTAATGGAGTTACAGCCTGCCTTTGGCTGTTTAGCATTGTCCCACTTTCTCTGTCACCCCTCCCCTGGTTCTCCTGCAGCGAGGGCACACAAAACCTGTGCCTGAGCAGCACCTGAGGGCTGGAGCCTGGGAGGCCAAACTCACAACCCTGGCACAGTGAGATTCATCACACTGCCAGGTATTCATGGGGAAATAAACTAGCAAAGCACAAACATAAAGAAAATTTAGTGTAGGGCCGTAAAAAGCTGCCGTAAATAAAATTTAGTGTAAGCTGAGAATTCTTTTTTTTTGCTCACAACTCGGACAACAATATCTGCCTGCTGTCACAAACCTTTTAATATATCAGCTTTTTGACTTCAGGGCACTGAACAAAGAGTGTAAAACTCATGATCCATATTTTATAGCAGGAGGAGAGTAAGGCCAGCTCAAAGGGAAGATGGTTTTGGTGATGAGGTTGGTTCTCCATAAAGAATTTCCTGCTTTCCTCAGTACTTGACATTTCTTACAGCTGCTGAGCCCGGACCAACCCTTAGGCCAGTCCTGGTACTTCAAGGTGCAAACAGGATGGAAATCATGACATGATTTAGGACCTGAACAAATCCTAAATCTGATGGTTGTGGAAAACTGCAGTGGGTTCCAGTTCTGAGCTTTAGCTGGTGCTCAGCACAATCTCTCTGGTCTAGGGAAAAAAATGCTGTGGCTCCCAATTAATAAAAATGAAGAAAACTGGTCACAGAAATGTAAGGTATGAAAACAAATCCAGACTGACTCTAACTTCAGAGGTTTTTTTCAAAGCTAAAAGTGCCCAGTTGTTATGAATTGTTTATTTAATAACAACCCCAGGAGGCCTTTAAGACTAGAAAAAATAAAATGCTGTCACAGTGGGAGAAGAAAAAAGGTCCATTGAGGTTGAGGTCAAGAATTTTGGTATTAATACATGGCCATGGATTTTGTACAGGGAGCCATCAGCTGCTTTGCTCTGCTCTTGGGCATTCCTGGGTGAAAATGGCTTTTTCCTGCTGCCAATTAATATCCTGAAGGCCACCACCTCAGGACATCAGGCTACTGATGCAAATCACTCCCACTGTGAGATTAACCTGATTCTTTACACCAGACTGTAGAAAGTTAGAATGGGCTGATACATTTCAATTTTTGTCACAAATATTGTGGGGTTTTTTTCCTTCCCTGGTCTCTTCTGCTTCGCCCAAATACATGAAATGGAATTTAATGCCAGAACTCCATAAAGCTGCAAGGGTGTTGAAAAAATAAGTACAGGGCCATACAAAAAGAGAAATATATTTTATCAGCTATATATCTCCACTGTAATATTATTATATTTTAATATTTATCTTTTTATTAGGAAAGTTCAGTGTGCCATAGACCCAGAATTACTGGGTTTAGTCAACACAAGCAGGGATGACACTTGACTAAACTGAAACTCTCACCACTCTTATCTTACTTGAAAGGTTACATTTCACCATGAGGTTTTGCAAAGAAAATGTTCCTTCCAGTTTAAGAAACACCACAATGTGAGAAATGAACATCCTTACACCTGCCTCATGGGTGACAAAAATCACTGAAAAACCATTGTTCCTTATGTTAGCCAGACACTGTGTAAAATATATAAACTTTCATTTGAGAACAGGTTGGAACACACTTGGCTGAAGAAATATGATTCCTCCTCTACTTATGAATTTCCTTATTTTGGAGGAGGGACCCTGACCTTGTATCCAAGGCTGGTGCTGTATTACAAAACAGCAACAGTAAAAAAGGTAGAAAATCTCCTTTTTTAAAAACAAATCTCCCTTGTGTCATTGCATGCAGCAAAGAAATGATTTCTCATTGCTTTCCCACTGCAGCTTTAACCCAGTCATGAATTTCAGGTATGGATTTCTGCATGTGCACAAGCCTTTGTACCAAGCTTCAGGAAAACTTGCTCTGCTCCCACATCCATCAGCATCTCCCCTTCCCAGGCACAGCAGGAAGCATTCACAGCACAATCCCCTTGCTTTTAACAGCAGAAAAATAATGAACTTTTGCTGTAGAGGAAGCAAGAGCCTGGGCAGTGAGGAGAGCTGTTTCACTCAGGTAAAGCTGGGCCTGCCAAGAGGAATTTTCTCCCTTTGGGGGCTGAGCAGCCACTGCAGAGCCTGCCCCAGTGGAAGGGAGGCCAAACACAGGAGAGCTTTTGGCCAGCACAGAAGAATAAAGATTTTTCTCCTCCAGCTCATTTCTGTTTTCACTCATAACTGCTTTAGAGAACTTAAGCTAAATACGAAAATGTTCAGTTCTCTTTGTCTCATAAGTTTGAAAAGAAAAGGGTACATTCTTGTTACAGATTAATTATGTGGGGTGGAACAACCTAAATGCACTACCCCATGGCATGGAAACTGGGCAGGGTTTTCCTGCAATCCCAAACGGGAAGTTTTTGTGGCCTCCAGCTAGGAATGGGAGAATAGACGTAAAGAAGTGAACTATGTAAAACCCATTACGTTAATCTGGTTCCAAGAACCACTCAGACATTCTTAATGTGCAGGGTAGCTGTATCCTTTTTGCTCTTTTCCTTTTCCTTTTCCATTTTTCCTTTTCCTTTTCTTTTCCTTCTCCTTTTTTCCTTCTCCTTTTCCTTTTTTTTCCTTTTCCTTTTCCTTTTCCTTTTCCTTTCCCTTTTTTCTTTACCCCTTTTCCTTTCCCCTTTTTCTTTACCTCTTTTCCCTTCCCTTTTTTCTTTACCCCTTTTCCTTTCCTCCTTTCCTCCTTTTCCTTTTCCCTTTTATTTTCCCCTTTTCCTTTCCTTCTCCTCCTTCTCCTCCTCCTTTCCCCCTTTCTCCATTTTTCCATTTTCCTTTTTCCCTCCTTTTAAAAAATTTTTTTCCCTTTCCCTTCTTTCCCCTTTTCCTCCTTTTTTTTTTTTCTTTTCCCCCTCTTTCTGTACTTTCTCTTCTCTTCTTTTTTCTCTTTTTTTTTCCTTTCTTTTTCCTCTCCCTCTCTCAGGATCCCTCTGTTTACCCCAGAGGGATATACTCCTCTGGCATACACTTGCTAGTGAGTGTAAGAGTCAGTGATATGTCCTTATGAAACATTTGTTTACCTCTGTGTTCAGTGCAATGCTTTGGGAAAAAAAAAAAAAAAAAGAAAGGGTCAAACACTCTTTTCTGTGTATTGAAACTCATAAAATGTGTCTGAATTGCATAAGAAGTAAGGAAAGCTGAAATTTTGTCCTGTTTAAACCTGTTTCATTAGTTTTTCACTCTACGGTTCTCAAGAATAATGCTGAAGAAAATTATTAGACACAATATGTAGGAGTCATCCTGACAGGCAATATAAAAATCTAATTTATCTAATTATAAGGCTGGAAAATGCAAACCCACTGTCTCTAGATAACTACTGTAACTTTTTTTATCTTTAAAGGTACACTTGCATTTGCTTGATAATCTAAAATATCCTGAAGTTTGGTAAAATTGCCATTGTGGGGGAATTTGATATAATTTCACCTAGGTAAAAAGATGCAGCGGCTTCTGCAAAATGACAGGAGCAAATTAGAAACACGTGGAGCTCTCAGCACTGTGTTTGCTCATCCTTTCTTGGCTCCTCTCACACCAGGTCTGGCTGGAATTTGGATACGCCGTGGGCTAGCATAAGTTATAATAGCCATGATGATGGTCCAATTTATGATTGTTGCCAGGCCAGGATTCCCCAGAGCACAATGAATTCTGCTTCCTCAGCTTGCTGTAACCACTGATAACACACAAAATCAGTGATAAGACAAAATCACGATAAGACAAAATCAGTGATAAGACAAAATCAGTGATAACACAATATCGCCGATAACACGTCAGCGGTAATGCAATATCTGACAACACAACCAGCAGGAGGAGAGAAAAAAAAGCAGGAATTCCTTAACACCACATCAATCCCACTCCAGGTGTGCCTCAGGGTGTCACCTACCTTCCAAATTGAGGGTCACCACTGCCGTGTCATCCTCCAGCCCTTCGATCACCTCGCACTTGTACCTGCCGTAGTCCTCCAGCCTGATGTTGGCGATGACGAGCGAGGCGTCGTTCTCGCTGCTCTCCCGCAGGGACACCCTGCCCTGGTAGCTCCCGTAGCTCTTCCTGTGGTGCCCCATGGCCACGAACACGTCCACTTCCTTGAGGTAATCGTAGGTGAGTTTGGTCCACTTGACGCGGATTTTGTGGGTTCCTGAGCCGGCGGTGGAGGTGTGCTCATGGTAGAATTTGCATGGCAGTGTCACGTTGCCGCCGCGGTGGGAGAAGATTTTGGCTTGCTCTGCTACCACGAGGAGGCGGGGCCCGTTTTCTGTAGGATTGAAGGAGGAAAAGGTAAAAAAAAAAAGGTAAAAAAACCCCCCACTAAATTGGTTTGCAGTCTTCCTTTTACAGAATGGGTGTGGTCAATGGGTGGGGTGCCTTAAAAATGGGTGTGGTCAATGCTGTTGGTGCCTTAAGTTTCAGTTTTTGTATTTTTCAGATTGTGTGCTGCTTCAGTGTGCAGCTCTGAGCTTCATATTTAGTGTTAGCAAGTTCTCCTCCCAGGGTAGGTAGACTCTTTTCCCTTGGAAAAGAATAACAATTCCTTTTGGAAAAGGATAACAATTCCTTTTCCAGCCTGACCAAAGAAAACGGTTACAAGCTCCAGGCCCAAAAATTATAAACAAGTAAATTGAAGAGAGAAAAAACAAGAAGGATGGGACTGCATAACCTAAAGCTGTAATTGGATAATTAACTGCAGTATGCAAATGGAGCAGAACTGATAAAAGTGAGAGACCTTGTGAGCCCTCGTGCATTTTGGGGCCATTTTTGGTTCATCTTGGGTGCAGCCGTGGCTGGGCTCTTGTGCTGCCCAAGGACAGCAGGATTGTCCTGGGATCCATTGAGGATCCAAGGACAATCCAATTGGATTGGATCCATGGAATAATAATAATAATAAATCCCTGCTTTATTCTGTAACTCTGTCCAGCCTCTGCTCTAGGTCAGCCTTCACAAGGCATCACCAGCTGCACCTGCAGGATCACCACCCTGCAATCATTTTGGATCTGTTCAGTGATAAGGTTTATAAACTAGTTATAAATAATTATTTGCTCAGCTCAAAGCATCTCAGTGCCCCTCACACAGGCAGAGACCATCCTATATTCATATTGTGTAAATAGATTTACAGAGTTGTATTGCTGATGAATGCCACCACCCATAAAAGGCTCCAAAACACTTTTCATATTTTCCTTGTTCAAGAGTTGTATATCAATGCTTTATTTTTTATTTTCATAACTCAATTTTTCTGGAGGGATTCTGCTTATTCAGGCAGCAGCACACAAACTCCTTACAGTCTGAGATGCAGAGAATCCCACTCACAAAGCAGAAAAACCGTTTATGTATCAAACAGCATTATTTATGCTGACATGAAAAGTGTCAGCAAAAATCTAAAGTAGATATTTTAGGCATTTTTATTTGCATTTTATTCTAACTTTTGAGTATAAGTTCCTCTTCTGACCAGAGTAAGGAAGTCCAGTTGCTCTTCAAATGTAAAATCTGTTCCTCTGCTGCCCACCCTCTTCATCATTCCAATGTGGTTTTTCCTCATCTTTTTATCTGACCTCCTTAAAACTTGTCACTGTTTTGTCTTTTAGATTTTGATCTCACTTTTCATGCCAGCCTGTATATGACTGTCTGTCTCCTCTCCTCCTCACCCCAGGTTTCCTGCTTTCCTTCCCTCTAGCAGCAGATGTTGCCGTGTGAAATAATTTTGCTTAGGACAGTCAGCTGGGGCAGGTGCTCTGCCCAGCCCTGAGTCTCTGGGGATTTTACAGCCTGTGCTGCCTTGAGAAAACCCTGGAAAATGCAGATTTCATGTGCTAGTCAGCAGACGTACCCAAAAGTGAGAGTTTTGCCTCCTTTCAGTATCTCTTGCTTTGTTCCTCATGTGAATTTTGAACTTCAAACTGATTGAGCAAGCTCAGTGCTCCCACTGGGTTTTTTCTCCTTGACCCCTGATACAGTGGCCAAAACCCCCAATAAATCACCAGCTCACTGGGGAAGCACCACCAACCTCACTCTGCACTCACAGGCTGTGAAAATAGACTTTGCAACCCCCTGTGCATGTTCAGCAAGTCGATGTGGCTGCCCAAAAATGTGATTCCCCACTCTGAAGCCCGACCTGGCTCTCTCTAAATCCAGCAAAAGCTGCGGGTGAGCTCCCAAAAAACACAGAGGCTGCTGAGAGGATGGCCCTGTGAAGGCTAGCAGCAATTTTCTGGGTTGGTTCAGGAAAAAATTGATGGAAAAATGTCATCAGCCGGGGAGATGTGGGTGGCTGGAGGAGGGAAGGACTGGGGATGGATGGATGTGGAGCTCTCCATGGAGTGTCCATCCCACCCCTCCAGCTGTCTGCCCACAGCACTGCAGGAATCTCTGGTGTGCCCACAGCATGAGGGGTCTGCAGGGAGGCTTTTGGATCCCTCCAGACAGTCCCAGGCTCCTGAGGCCTGGTGACAGATCTGTGGTTAAACGAAATATCTGCCCAAACTGCAGCCCCAGCTGGATTTCCCTCTCTGCCCACTACTGCACTGAGCTGCACCCCAGGGAATGCAGAATTTTGTGTTTATGCAAGCATGTCTGAGGGTGGTAATTGCAAATGTGCATCTGCCTGGGGAAAACAGGTTTCCCAAAGGTACAGCTCTTTGTTGGGAGGTGCTGTGCCCAGAGCATTGTTGCTCCCTGCACAGGTCAGGGCTCAGCTTGCTCAAGAACGAGCAAATTTGAGTGCTGCAAGGTGTTTTGCCAGGGTGAGAGACCTTTCCCTGGTGAAAAACCAAAGCTGCAGAGCAAGTGGCCTACAGCCCCTTTGAAATGATGTTCTTTTTCGCTGCCCTCCTTTCCAGAGGCTCAGGGATGCTCCAATAATCCATCCTCCCCCTTGCCGAGGAGAGCATCCGAGGAGAGAGGTGATCTGAGGCAAGGCACCATGGAAAGCTTTACCAGCAGTTTCCACAGGAGGAGGAGGAGGAGAAGGAGGAAAGTGAAGACAGCCAGCACAGCTTGTCTGCAAATTTTCCTGTTTCCTTTGGGGACAAAGACGTTCCACAGTCCTCTGTCCACCTTGGGAGGAGAAATGTTATGCTTTGGGGTGGTTTGTTACCAAGAAATCTGATTCAGAGCTCTGCTATGTTGGGCCTTTAATGCCGAAATAGTCAAGTTAATAAATATTAGCAGAAAGGACTGGGGCAGGAGGGAGGCTCTGACTCAGTTAATGCTCACTCTTTCTAACAACTGTGCCTGTGCCAGCAGGGCCTGGAGGCTTGCCCAGAGCACTGTCACCTCTGACTCCAGCATCAGCATCCCAGTTTGGGGATGTTCCTCCCTGCTGGCGGCCTCCCACCTCCTCTGGCCCTCTGCAGCAGCCAGACATGAGTCTGGGGAGTTGTAAAGAGCAGAGGGGATGGTAAACTGGGAAGGGAAAGGAAAAAGGAAAAAGGAAAAAGGAAAAAAAAAAAAAAAAAAAGGAAAAAAAAAAGAAAAGGAAAAATGAAAGAGAAAAGGAAAGGAAAAAAGGAAAGGGAAAAGGAATGGGAAAATGAATGGAAAAATGAAGGGAAAGAGGAAAGGATAAAAAAGGAAAGGGAAAAAGAATGGGAAAGTGAAAGGAAAAATGAAGGGAAAAAGGAAAGGAGAGAGGAGAGGAAAGAGGAGGGGAAAAAGAAAGGAAAGGGGAAAGGAAAGGGAAGGAAAGGGAAGGGAAGGGAAGGAAAAGGAAAAGGAAAAGGAAAAGGAAAAGGAAAAGGAAAAGGAAAAGGAAGGAAAACATGGTTTTTCTCAAATATCTCCTTTGACCCCGGAGGTTCCAAGGGAGATGTGGCACCTGAAATGTTCCTCCACCCATAAGTTTTGCAAAAGCCAGTTCTTTTTTTTACAGAAAATGGGATGGTGTTCCCTTCTCACTGGAAAGACAGTGAGGCAGAAAGTTACATTGCTGCTGCTGCTTCTCCCAGATCTGGAGAGGAGGAAGGACCTCTGGCTTTCGAGGAAAAGCAGATGTCAGACTGGGGAACGAGGCACAGCTTGGGCTAGAAGACATGAAGGCAGCAGGGACTTGGGATTGAAAATGGGATGACAGGGGTTTGGCAAGAGGCCTAGAGGTCTTCATTATCCAGCAGCCAGTGAGAGCCAGGGCCAAATCTACCTAAACTGCACATTTTTGGGAGTGTGGCAGAATGAATGGTCTTGCTCTTCCTGGAGCTGAAAAAAAAAAACCAAAAAAAAAAACAAACAAACAAAAAACCACCAAAAAAAAAAAAAAAAAAACCCCCAAAAAAAAAAAAAAAAACCACCAAAAAACCAAAAAACCAAAAAAAACAACAACAACAACAACAAAAACAAACAAAACCCAAACCCCCAAGAAACCAAACAGAGAGCAAACCAGAATTCCTTAATTTAAAATATGTGATTGTCTCTGGTTTTACTGTTGTGAAACTGAGCTCAGAGGAGCAATGCATTCTTATTCCTGGGTTATCTTAGTGAAACTAGGGCTGATCTGTTATGAAATAGTGATGGGATAGTGACTGGTTTGAAGGGTGGCAGCTCCCTGGCTGCTCGCCTCATGGGCATTCTGATAAGGCTAGTCCTTGTAAATGAAATTATTTCTGTCTCTAAATGGCAGGAATATCTGGAAGGTGGCTGAAAGAAGGAAAAGGATGGGACTGAGTCACAGACCCCAGGGTGTCACTTGGGGAGGACAACACTTCTTCCTTCCAGAACTGCTTCCTTCAGAAATGCCAACAGAGAACTTGTGAGGTGAACAAAGAACTGTAAACTCTGAAACCCCTGGACTGGAGTGGGTTTAACCCTCATTAAGGAGCTGTCCTTGCAAACGGCACAGTTTGGATCTTGCCTGGGGACAAGGTCACGCGTGTCACTCCAGAGCCTCAGATAGTCAAGTTCAGTGGAAAAGCAGAGCTGGGCAGCTTCCAGCTGCTCCTTCTGCTGGGGACAGAGGTGACAACACCCTGGTGCTCTGGTCTCAGCTCCAAAGGCAGAATTGGGATGAGAAAGATTTCCCAGGTGGGGCTTTCCACCCTTCCAGGCATATTTGGCATGGTCAGGCAGGCAGCAGCCAAGCAGTTAGCACAGAACCAGGCCCCACTAGTGACTAATTTGCAGTATTTTTTCCACTCCTGCTTCCCTGCTATTGATTCTGACAGACTGTGGGCTTTTGCTAATCTTCTTGGAGCAGTTAGAAGGATGACAAAGGCAGCACAGAGAACAGAGTTTGTCCAGGATGCAGAAGATGTCCAGGACAGAGCACAGCTC